TGACGACAGATGACAATTGTGATATTATAGTAATGTAAACCATAAAACAGTCAACAAGAAGCAATAAACCTCTACCAAAGAAGAGTCATAAACATAGCTAGCTTGAAGTAAATAAACACATCATTTACTTTTTCTTTTCTTTTGCTTTTAACATCTTCTAACTTTAATATTTAGAGTTTCTTTTTATTGAGCTTATGAAATGAAAACATTTCAATTAATATGAAGAGTTTCTGCATTGCACTATATAAGTAAACTTTATGCAAAAGTATAACTCCACTCTGTGTGTTTTATTGTTTTGTTTTGTATATCTTTCATAGTTTGCAACTCTCTATGATTGCAGTCATATTCTGAAAGTTGTGTCTGGATAGTTCAGTGTCTACGTTCTGAATTTGTGAGTATCTAGTGGTTAAGAGAAAGTTACAGTTACCTATTTTATGCTGCATTTTAAAATTTGCACAATATTTAACTTGTGGAAACACTGTAAAACTCTTCAAGTTTATCGACTTTAAAAATCAGTTAATCAATAAATTCATCAGTTGGTGTAACAGTCGCCACGGCTTTTTTGCCTGCCAACTTTTAGACAACAACAGTTTAAAACTATTTTAGCCACGTTGTCTTGTGTCTCTACAAAAAACTATTGAAACTGTATTCATTAGATCAGGGAAACAATTTTAATTATTTAGGTTAAATTAGTATGTGTGGATTTAAAATGTGGAACAAAAATAAGTTAATGATTCTGTGAATGTGCAATACATATTTCCAGATGGATATTTGCCAAGTGACAACCTTGGTCAAATAAAATATTCCAGTACCTTTTGTTTGCCTTGGATTAGCTGGTATTCCGGGTGTTGAAGTATAATACTGGTTGATGTAGGAATGGCTGGGGATCTGCTGTGTTACAGAATACGGAGGACTATATTCTTCATGTTTAAACGCTTGGTTTTCATACATGGGACCGTTCACCTGGAGATATACAGACAAAAAAAAAGATGAATTTATTTGCTCTACCTGTCACTCAGGTAACCTTTTCATCAGCATCGGTTTGTTCGATTCAGTTATAAAATTGAAATATGAGATCGAGCCTGTTTGTATGTTTAGTCAAATAACAACCTGAGAATAACGCCTGAGGTGTTTCAGAAATGTTACCTTTCTACTGTGAAACTGACCTTACCTGATTATTATACATAGTGAAACTGGTTTTACTGCCTGAAGAAGAGGAACTCTGTGAAACCTGAAAAACGGGATGTGTAAAATTTAAAAACATTTAAATACTAGTTGCTAGGTGCCACACAGGTATAAAAACATTCACACATCTTTGCAGATTTGTATTTTTTCATTAAACTGGACAGCTCGGCCCACAATAAGAAGCTAAAAAATAACACACACATATTAAAATGAAACAGAAATACTCGTTTACACTTTTCTGTCATTCACAAATAAGATTTAAACTGAAGAGAGAACATTTTTGAATAAATACTTGCTCATCTTACTTTGGTATGAAGGTATCATGTGATCCAGGACAGCTAAATTACTTAGAATTATTTACTAGTTCTCACCTTGAAAGTTTCCTTCGGGTCTCTGACTCTGTTACCGCACTCGTTTGCTTCTCTCTCCCTGTCTCATTTTCTTTCTCGCCTCGAATGTAATCAACAGCCAGAGTCACGCCCTTTCCCACTGTGTCGCACCCAGCATGTGGTGCTCAAGTGGATTTACACACAACTGGGTAAAAAAATGACAGGTGCAAAGAATATGGGCATATCTTAGTATCTTAATTCACATGTACATATTCCAGTTCGTGTAATCAGATTTGTGTGTGCGTAGAGAAATCAGTATGTGTGTGTGTTCATGTCTGTTCTGTGAGTATGAATGGTTCAAAAGTATTAAATCTCTATAGAAAACAACAACAACACACAAATCATAAGTTACAATCATACAGTTTTACCTTTTCTCTCTTTTGTTTAACATGTAACTTTTGCTACGCACACACAGACTGAAATACACAAATCTCCACACAGATGCAAACAATGCTTTTGATACAATACCAGCCCCATTAAAAGCACCATACTTCAGTACAGATGAAAGACAGTGCTCTATATATATTTCTGAGAGGTTTGCAGATCGGTGTAACAATCCTGTGCATCTCA